CAAATTTATCAAGAATATTTTTGATATCTAGTTGTTGAGGGATGTTTTTATGAATACTGATAGTAGCTAAATTACAAAGTCTTTCATCACCTGTCGAATAGTGTTCATAACTTTTAATTAGCTTCTTGACAGAAAATGAGCTTTCGGTAGTAATTGTCGACCTTCGTATTTGACATCTGAATTAAGTGAGAATAATAATTGATGGTTTGCTTGCTTCAATAATGCAATCTTTGTGATATTCACATTTATTATAATTCGATAAATAATCAATAGCTTCTTTTACTGATCTTGATGGTCTATTAACGAACTAAGTGAGATACTAATTTGTTTCCTTTCTTTGAAAATAAAACACAATACCAGTAATAAATTCCTTGATCCATTTCCGAATATGGTAGTCGTGAGTGTTGGTGGACTAATAAAATTTTTCCATTTTTTTCGACTTTTGGGGAAATATAATTTGATAGTGGAATTCATGGTTCGTTAACAGTCGATTTAATAATAAAAAGTCCTTCATAGCTAGCTGATCTGAAATATATAATCCAATATCATCATCCTTGACACGTATATTAATAACGATAGTACAATTTTGATTAATAGACAAGATAGAAATAGTAGCTGAAACTTCTTTGTTATTATTAGAATTATCGAAATTATCTGGTGTTGATTGTTGTGAGACATTCTTTTTTTTTTTATCTATATCACTCTTAGATCTATTGTTCGATGGGAAACATGTACTAACGTCTTTCTTTTTTTATTCATTATTTTTTGATAAAAAAATTTGCTGAAAAAATATTTCATTGATACTTTGATAAATGTGAATTATAAAGTAGAAGACAATACTTGTGACTATATGTATCATACATATATTTGACATTAATTATAACAAAGTGTCGGTACAAACACAAACATTATAAATTGATAGTACAACTTTTTCTTGTGAAAGAATGGAATCGATTCTCTCAATCCCTCCTGTCTGTGAACGTTCCTGGTCACGTCTTGCTGTTAACATTTGACATTCAATCATTATTTACTTTTCTATTGATTTGTTTGACTATCATATCGTCCAATATTTGACAAATGAATTGTTATATACAGTTCAACAGAAGCAAATTTTTATTAGAACTATTAGTTACTTAAGAAGATAATTATTTTTATTTATTTGAAATGAATAATTTTAACGATATTTTTCACCTGTTTGTAGTTAATAAAAGCCATTGTATTTTGTGAAACATGGAACAGACGTTTGTTGACAAAAAAAAAACAATCAGATTATATAATGATCATTTAATGTAAAATCAAGTCAAACTTCACATTAATTAAAGCTGAAATCTGATTGACAAAAAAACTTAAAAAAAATTTTTTTTTAAATAAAGATATTCAGAGATATTCTACGACTGAAGCGAGTATTGTTCTTAGTGGGACATTATACTAAATTTTTTACATCAGTTTCGATTTCCCAAAATGAAATGTTATATAAAGATACCCGATCAACCCAATATTTGAATTTTTTTTCAACGATCCTTGAACAAATATGCATGAATCATTGAACGCATTTCAATCAAGCTGTAAATTTAACTCTTACATATAGAGTTAGTTTCAATTTATTCTACGACTACTCTATGATACTAAAATGTCTAATCGAATTATACAACAATAATTCAAGATTTTAATTCCTTCTAACAAAAACAATTAGAGAAGGAATAATGTCTATTATTAATAATATCTTGTCAAAATAATAGTTTTTAAAATTTCTACAATATAAATAATAGTCAATTCGAAGTGTTGCAATAATACGCTATTACCAAACAATGTCCAAGTTTTTATTTATAATACCCAGTTCAATTAAATATTTTCTTTCTTGAACTCCAATTTGATTGCAAGACAAATTACGTTTTGTAAGTGTCTACATCATTTTGTAGAGAAGAAAATTTTGAATACAATGAATCAAATCAATAGTATTTTTGTCATATTCAATATGAGAATTACTATCGGACAATCTTTTTTTTTCTTTCATCACAGTTTTATGGTCATGCTGGGCACTAACCTTGATCTAAGGTATACTACGTCTGTCTTGATCATTTGGAAAGCTTTCAATGAAATCCTTAGGTGAGTTTTATTGTAAGAAATTGACTAGAGTTAGTATTTTCATTAATTTAATAAACTTGTTGATTAATCATCGATCTGTATATGCTGGAAAAAGAACAAAACCTGTATAATATTAATTATTTGTAATATCTTGTAAAGTTTTTAGTTAAATTTGTCTAACTGATCTTGCTAATTTTTGAACTTCAGTGTTTGTATCTTGAATAATAATATAATCTAACAAGCATTTCAATTCAATAAAATGAATTATTAAATCATCATAATATGTTTCATCAATTGAAAAAAGAGAACGTGCATATGCATAAATGCCAGCATGTTTAACAGTAGCATCTTGATGTTGTTGTAATACTTTTAATATTTCTAATAATGGTTTAATCATAGTATTTAATGTCAAAGCTTTTTGTGTATGAATACATAAACGACCTAAACAAGCTAATAGTTAACATAATAATAAATGATCATTATCACCATTGATTAATGATAAATGTGGTGTTTGATTTATCTATATATGATATTAATGGAAAAAAAGCGTCTGACAATATTTTCAAAGTGATTTTCTTTAAAGACAATTTATTTCTGGACAATTTTTTTAATTTTATATTTTGTTTTTAATTTTGAAAATTTAACTATAATTCAACACCATGAATAATTATCATTATAATTATCCCCATCATCAGAAATAAATATTTTCATCCTGAATTTTTGTTCGTATTTGACTAATTTGTGATAAATTTTTTGCTGTTTCTTGAATGATTTTAAGTATGAAACGTCGTTGATTAATAGTATAATTTTTTCAATAAAATTGTTAATAAATAATCACTTATTAATGATGGATAATTTTCACATAATGTTATGAAACCATTTAATTGTAATTCTCGAAGATTTTACGTAGGTGAAGTTAGCACCAGATTCGAGTAAATCCCGCCAAGATTCGCCCAGGAACATGCTTCAACTGTCCCAAGGTGTGTTCCAAGTACAACTCGATGAGCTCTATCGAATGGGGTATTCCAATTCCCGATAGCTCAAACACAGTCCAAGAAAATCAGAAAATACTAGCTTTTCACCATAGGAGATTCTGCATCCATCGACTAAAACCCGCCAAGATTCGCTCAGGAGCATGTTCCAAGTGTTCCACTCGTGTTCCGAGTACAACTTGACGCGCTCTATCGAATGGCGTATTCAGATTTTCCATAACTCAAACTAAGTTTGAGAAAATTTATACATACTAGTGTATCACCGGAAACATCCTAGATTTTACGCAGTAAGACCTGCCAAGATTCGCCCAGGAGCATGTTCCAAAGGTTCCATTGGTGTTCCAAGTACAACTGGATGAGCTCTATCGAATGGTGCGCTCCGATTTTTGATAGCTTAAACCAACTCCAAGAAAATCAGAAAATGCTAGATTTCCACCATGGGCGATTTTGCATCCATCTACTAAAACTTGCCAAGATTCGCCTAGGACCATGTTCCATGTGTTCCACTTGTGTTCCAAGTACTACGTGACGCGCTCTATCCAATGGCGTGTCTAGATTTTCCATAACTCAAACTGAATCTGAGAAAATTTAAAAATACTAGTGTATCACCACAAAAATCCTAGATTTTAGGCAGTAAAATCTGCCAAGATTCGCCCAGGAGAGTGTTCCAAAGGTTCCATTGGTGTTCCAAGTACAACTCGATGAGCTCTGTCGAATGGTATATTCGGATTCACGATAGCTCAGCCAAGTCCAAGAAAATTAGGAAAGACTAGATTTTCAGCATGAGCGATTTTTGCATCCATCTACGAAAACTTGCCAAGATTCGCCTAGGAACTTGTTCCAAGTGTTCCATTTGTGTTCCAAGTACAACTTGACGCACTCTATCGAATGGCGCGTTCAGGTTTTCCATAACTCAAACTGAGTCTGAGAAAATTGAAAAATACTAGTGCATCACCGCAAAAGTCCTAGATTTTAGGCAGTAAGACCTGCCAAGATTCGCCCAGGAGCATGTTCCAAAGGTTCCATTGGTGTTCCAAGTACAACTCGATGAGCTCTGTCGAATGATATATTCAGATTTTCCATAGCTGGAACCATGTCGCAGGAAATTTAAAAATATTGCTGGATCAATACAAGAAGTTGGTGTTCTCTATGTTGAAACGTGCCAAGATTCGTCAATGAGCGTGTTCCAAGTGTTCCATTGGGGTTCCAAATACAACTCGAAGAGTTTTATCGAATGATGTGTTTCGATACTCTCTATGTCAGAATGCATCTGAAAAAATGGGAAAATGCTGGTGTGTCAGGAGAGGGAATCTTTTGTTCTGGAGAATAAAACTTCTGAGGAGTCTTTCCGAAAGATATTCCAGATGATCCACTTTTTTGTCCAAGCAAAACTTGTTGATCTCTATAGAACAGTCCTATCGGATTCGGGAGAACTCAAAATACACCGAGAAACTCGTCAAAAGCGGATATATCAGCATAGAAGGGTTGCTATGTGTGGTTATATATGTAAGGTGGGTTTTGAGTATCAACCAAGAGATTTACTACATCCATAGCCGTATTCACATGCTCACCGACATCCACAGCTACTCCCGCAAAATTAATAAACAAATTTTTTAGCTGTGTGAAGGATCAGCTTCATAATATCTATTTCGTCTTGAAATATTGTTTGGTGCATGTGTTTGTTGTGTTACCTTTCGGATGAAAAGCATTATGCCAAATTTTGTTGCGTTAGTATTTGTGAAAATTAATAATTATTTATTTTTATATAAGTGAAAATAAATTATAGATTAATTTTTTCGACCCTTAGTTGTCGTTAGTGTTATTAGATCTTCGAAACATATCAAATCGTTCTGTTCATGGTGCATTCATAATTTTCAAAAATTACTATAAAAACTTAACAAGCGAAATTAAAAGAAATTAAGCAAGAAGAAGTATTGGATTGGATATGTACAGACTGGATTTGGGAAAACTTTGTGGTAAAGGTACATCTAAGACAAGGCTTTTTTATTTTTTTCTGAGATAAAAAAATTGTTTTGGATTGAAGATTGTTACAACAAATGGTATATGTAAATTTTCTTGTGTTTATTGAAATTGGCACTGAATTCTATTGATAATTTGAAATTTTTCTAAAGAAATACGGTAATTTATTTCAATATTAAAAACAAATAAATTACATCATAAATACTATGAATACATTAACAGATGTATTCTAGACAGCTGTTACCGGATTTTATTCTCATTTTCAATGATTGGTATAAATATTTGTATTTCTTTTTCTGATAGCTTAATATAGTTATTTGGATTATTTCCTAAAAGGTTAAACCTTTTTATTGTGCAGTTTGGTGGGAAACTCGTTTTAAGTATTACAAGAGAATTTAAAAGATGGCTAATTTTGCTCGAAATGTTAATTTCATACTCAACTGCATAAGAAGACGTGATTAGATTATTTATTTTGATTGTGAATTGATTGTTATTAAGGTGAAAATTCGATAAATCAAGTGGTTGACTATTGTAATAAACATCGACTTTCGAAGTATTTGAAAATATGAATTTTCTGATTTGCTATTAAACTGAAAGTTAACACATCAAATACGAGAATTATTTTGGTCTTTTTTGAAGAAATCAAATAATCTAAACTGTTGATGCTTGGAATAGCCATTGAAGTCCATTGCTAATGTGAATGAATTTTGTGTATTTAATATTAATATATTTGTTACTTCTACAATATCAATATAGATATTATATGTGGCATTTAGTATAATGTATACGTCCTATACTGACAAAGGATGATAAAAATGAGATCAGGTCAGAAATTATATTATTGAAAGCTAATATCAACAGCGAAAGATGAGCATTTGTGCTGAATAAGCCATGATAAAATATCATGTATGAAGGCTTTAATAAAGGAATCAGCAACAATATTATTTTCAGATAATAAAGATCTATTAGCATGAATGAAATGATATGATTTCTTTGTAGCCGATATGAAATTAGAAAAAAGTCATTAATGTTAATAAAATATTACAAAAACTTGGTTTGAGAGATTTTGGAAAACGAATTATTATATGAGATAACCTGGAAGAAATTTTTTTATTATATCTCGCAAAAGTTAAAGATGCAAGTTTTATTTTTTAATTAGCGAAACAGATAGCCATCCAAATGTCATGAGTAATATGTAGAAAAACTTTAAGTTTGATTCACATTATCAGGTCTAAGAAATAGCGATAGATTAGACCTTTTAATTTATATGAAAATCAGAGTTTGAAAAATAGTCAATATAATGGATAGATTTCTGTTACTATTGTACAGAAATATTGTTTAACAGTTTTATTTGCCGACAAGATATTAAATTTTGAAAAATTGCCTAAGTAGGTAGAGAAAGCTTAAAAACTTATCTGTGGAAAATAAGATCAAAAATGAAGAAAAGTTAAATTTTTAGATCAGAAATGAGCATAAGGTGGTGGTTATTGATTAGCATTGATCGATTCATTGTACAATATCACTATTAGATAAATAATCAACATAAATAAATAAATAAATAAATATATATATTTATGTATATTATTGGTAGAACGATGTCATTAAATTTTTCTTTTCCATAATGTATGTCATCTGAGAGTTTAGTAAAAGAGAGAATCCGACATTGTAAGAAAACAATCAGATTTAACATGATGACTGTACATATCAAGATTATTACCTATATAAAATTGAAAGTCGATTTAAGTTTAACTAAATTTGGTGAAAAGATTATTTCATAATGAGTATGTTCAAATGCAGGACAATATT